TCCAGTTTCTCTAAAGAGGATCCTCCCACCAGCAGGAGAAACCTCTGAGAGCAGCGTGCAGGCTTCCCATCTGCAATTATTTCACCAGAGAGTCAGGGGATCTGCTGTTTGTAGCCTGAGGCTCAGTAACTGAATTATGTTTGCTACCATTCTGCCTCATCTAAAAAATGATGAGGATAACCCCTGACCTGCCAACCTCAAAGGGTGATGGGGAAGAGAAATAACTGAACAGGTATGAAGAGCTTATTACATACCAGGCACTGACATGTAGCTTTACATGGATTAATGCGTTCAGTCTTCACAACAACCCCACGAGGTAGGCACTATGTTAAGCTGCCCATTATACAGGCAAGGAAACTGAAGCACATCTGCAAGAAATGCCTTTCCAGCTGCCTCCATCAAAGGCAAGTAGGCAAGGGAGGCAGGTAGGTGAGGAGAGAAGGAAAACATCTGAATGTTGAAGACAGACCCAGTGGCCACAGCTGGAATTGTTACACAATTCTTCACTTAAGAGACTTAAAATTTATCCTTTCAATCCCATTTCACCAAATCCACCTGCATCCTAGAGCATGGGGTGGGGGGAGCAGAAGACAGGCCCCATATTCTGACTCCCACCCCACCCCCATCTCTCTTCTTTTTCACTCTTTTCTCTTCTCCCGCCTTCCCTCTCCTTCTTTCCTTTCTTCCTCTTTTTTAAATTGCAGAGTGAGAGCAAGATCAAGCCACCTTCCTGGGGAAGCTCCATCTCCAAGCAGCCTCTGTTGGCCCCGACTGCCAGCAGCACTTAGGGGAGATGTGGCTTTGAGGAGTAGGCAGCGGGGTGAGCAGGGAGCAGCCCAGGGCCAGGCTCTGAGCGTGTGGACTGGGTTCAGGGCAAGCCCAGACCCTAGGAAGGAAGGGAAATGAGGGCAATGTACTGACAGTGGAGAGTTGGGTAGGCAAGAAAGGTCTGAAGCACACAGCCTCCCAGAAGCTGGTAATAAGCATTTATTCTGTACCAGGCTCAATTCTAAAAGCTATCTATGCATTGCCAGTGTATCATTTATTGCACACAATAACCACATACGAGGCCAGCACTATTACCACCCCTAACGAGAACACAGAGGCAGAGGTTAACCTTGCCTGTGATCATGCACTAGGAAGTGGTGAGCCAGGATTCAAACCTAGCCAGTGTGGCTCCAGCCCAGGCTCTCGGAACCATTTTGCGACATGACTTTTTTTTCCAAAGGGCATCCATGTGCATGGGCACGTGTTCATGATGGAGGCAGGATTGATGTTGAGTGCTCATTTTTCTAGCTGAAGCTTACAGGAAATAAAAGTGGCTTGGCCAAAGGTCAGAGTGCACTTAGTCTGGTATCTTGGGTTTCCAACTTTCTGCGCAGCAGCCCCTGCCACTGACTGGCAGGCAGACCCGGGCGGGGGCTGGAGCATCAAACAATAGGGGTCAGAACTGGAGAAGATGGCACAGACAGCGTGGAGTCTGGGGGCCAGGGGGTACAGGGCACAACCTGCCACAGGAAGGCATTTGTCGTCACAGCATACTGTCCAGGCGGCAGCAAAAAGTGCAAGAAACGCTGAAGTTTTTTGAGAACCTACTATATGCTAGATACTTTGACATTTAATATTGGGGCCTCTTTAATCCTTACAACTGCCCTGGGAGGTATTCCATTTTAGAGTTGAGAAGAGGATCCCAGCAAGACTTGGCCAAAGTGACACAGCTAGAAGGTGGCAGAATCTGAATTCAAACCCCAGTCTGGATGACTACAGCCTGTGTCTCTATTCTTCTAGCCCAAGCTATGACCCAGAGCTTTCTGTAAACTCCAGGCCAGGGCAGGGACTGTTGTCAGTGGGGTGCAGTTGGGCCCCCGGGCAGGGTCAGTGGGTCAGCTGGCTGGAATCTGTCGTGGGGGTGGAGTATGGCCATCTTTGTCACTCTCCTTTAGGGTCTAGACCCCAGCAGCCACTGCTGAGGTGGTCGTTTCAGGCTGAGGCTGCCTTCACCTCTCCCAAGTGGCTGAACCATGGGTGGGAGCCGAGGGTGTGCATGCGTCCTTGAGTCATCCTGCTCCACAGGCCTGAACCTTCATGCAGTCTGTGCCTCTGTGGGCTGGTGCATGGGTGTGACTGGGTGTGAGGGGCTGGCTCAGTGGCACAGCAAACAGTCACAACTCTGGTACTTATCATTAGCCCTATTTTAGAGATGAGGAAAATTAAGTGACTCACACAGCCAGTGCCTGATGGGGCTGGGAGCAAGACTTCCTGACCCCCTGATCTGTGTTCTATGCCCTACATACCTGCTGTCCCAACACAGGTCCACACACAGGGGCACCTGAGCAACAGGGGCTGGCATGGGGGAGGAAGAGGATGGCGGGACTAGGGGGTGCTGGGGGACTGGACTAGACGGGACAAATGGTAAGGCCTGGCAACAGCCCAAGATCCCGTGCCCAAGAAGGTGGGCCCAGGTTCAGGATCCATGGGGGCCCAGTCCAGCAGGCAGCTACCCTGACCAGGTCAACATAGGCCAAGGTCAGTGCCAGAATTCTGCGCAATCCATCACCTATTTGGCACAAGACTCTATCCAGACCACAGAGCGGGGAATAGGGGTGACAGGTGCTAAGAACCAAGGAGAGAGTCAGGGCTCAACCAAGAGGGCAGGGTGGGCACAGACTCCTGAGTTTAGGCAGACCTAGGTTTGATTCCTGAGTGGCCTTGGGTAAGTTACTCAACCTCACCATGTTCATATGTTCATCTACAGATGGGGGCATAATGCACGTAAAGCTGGCACAGGGCAGTATTGGTCCAGGGATCGAGGCGGCATGGTGGGAAGGCTGCCCTGGATCCTGGGTCTGTGGCCACGTGACTAATCCCAACCCTGGGGGTGGTGGTGCTGAAACTCCTTCTGGAATCCTACCTGGGTCAGGGCTGGACTGGGAACCAGCATGCACTCAACCAGTGGGTGAGGGGCAGCAGTGACTCAGACCTTGGGCAAAACTGGTACCGACAGTGCTGCTACCAAGGAAATGATGATGGTCCAACAGACATCAGATGCTTTCACTCAGAGAGCCCACAGTGCTGAAGTAAGCACTGGTCTTTATGTTTAAACTCAATTGGAATAAACATCTCAAGTTATGTCTGCCTCCCTCCCTTCTTGGAGTTCTCCATAAAAGCATTAAATCTTCCCAGAAGCCATGGTCCTGCAGGGACCTCCTCCCACATCACGTCTCCTACATAGTGACCTGGGTAGAAGGCAGCAGAATGAAGTCTTTGCTAGTAATACCTGCCCTGCTCACACCCCCTCATGTCCCCTCATGTCCCCATGCACGTAGGAACAAACATTTTCCAAGTACCTGTCTCCCCCTAGTTGAAGAGCCACCTGATTTGGATGCCTCTGGCTTTCTTTATTGAATAAAATCAGGAAAATGTGCATGATCTGGAAATATACTAGAATATGCACTAAAGGACACTGCCACTTGGGATTAAATCAAAGAACTATTATTAGACAAAGGCAACTTCTCAGGAACCCCCCCTAACCCCGTCACTGACCGTAAGTCCTCAAAATCACCTTCAGCAAGTTCTGTTCACCCCCAAAGCATGTGGGCTGCTTCCACAAGCCTGCTGGGAGCACAGGAGACAAGACCCTGAGCAGCCAAGCCCCAGGAGCTGCTGTCACAGCCATGGGGCAAGGACACCTGAACGAGGCATTGTCATTTCCCTTCCTCCTCGGGGAGGGAATGATCCTTTGTGAAATGCCCACTAAGGTGAATGACAGAAAGTAGGCAAAGGCCTGGCTCACCACACGCCCCCAGCCAAGTAGCCAGGCCCCGCACAGTGAAGTTGGCACTGCTGATTTAGTCCATCTCTCATCAGCACCCCCGGCACTGCGTCATCATCCCCTTCCCCTTCACTCCATGCTCATTTCAAATCATTTCACTAACAGGGCGCCTCCTCCCCCACTTCTGAACACTATCCCCTCTTCAACAGTGTGTGCGAGACCCCCTCCTTCTGAGTTAGCTCCAGGGCTACCCCATCTGGGCGCTCAGATGGCTGTTTTGCTTTAAAACCAACAACACTGCCCATTTCTAAAACACCTGAGGTTGAGTCGCTAGCCAGACGATCCCCCACATCAGCCATAGCATTAAAGTCACAGGGAAGAAAGCCCAGGGGAGACTTCAGGCTCCTGAGAGGGGAGGGGAGAATTTTTTTTTCAAGGTATCAAGTTTCAGAAAACCTCTCAAGGGTGTCCTCTTCAATTCTCTGGCCAAAGAGGGGGTGTGTAGTAGACAGACAGCGAGGATATAAGCTGCCGCGGTGGGGTAGATTACTTACTGACGGCTTCCCGGTGCAATCGGCTGCTGCAGGAGCCCACCAAGCCAGCACGCTAGAGAGGGGGCTGACTTGTGCTCTAGGGGCAAGCTCTTCTTTCTGCATGGTTCTTGAGAAGGAAGGAACTCCTGGTCTGATGGAGTTCCTTTCTCTGATTCCCAAGAAAGCCTGCTCCCCCAAGGAACAGCCTTGCAGGAGGAGCCTTCAAGGAACCTTATAATATATAAATTACGATTCATGTCAGGCATTGCAAATGCATCTCCCCAGGTGGGCAACAGAACCCTGGGGGTGTCCTTTGAAGCAACACCATCAAAATACACAACTACCCAAAGCAAGCCAGGACAAAACCACGGCTAATTCTGCTGACCACAGTCTCAGAACACTATTGGCTTTGACAAAAAATAGACTTAGGACAATGAAGGGGCTCGGTGGCCCCACTCTGGATGGGATCCTGGGCTGGACACCTTCCATGGCTCTTTTAGGTCCTCTCTCTACCCACTCTGCCTGCTCCTTGGCTATGTGTTCCACAGGGAACACAGAGGATGAGGGAGGGAGGAAGGGGGGAATGTATTCCCTCAGCTCCCACCCAAGGGCTCTCTGCAGGCTGGATATACCCCCTACTCCAGGCTGAGGTCACATCTCCAGTTTCTAGAACGACTCCTTCTCCTTGCCCCTTCAGGCCTTCACTACTTCACTGTTACTAGTTCTGGAATATAATGCACCGTGTGTTCCCTATACCTTCTCTTAAAATATCCTCAAATGACCCAGACTGAGTTTGCTTCTGTTTCCTAATACACCAGCAAGGCTTTTATAAAATACCCAAGTATTTATTATGCCCTTGAACCAATGGCTTTGACATGTTGTAAACATGAACATTAAAAGACCCTGCCCTGACCCAGGCCACAGACTGCAGGACCTGCAGGCTCTGTCCCTGGGGCAGGGAGGCCCTCCTGAGACCATGTTTATGGAATGAAGAATTCCCGGAAGGCCTGTCTTTCTGGGTTTTCCAGTCTGGTTAGTGGGTGGTCTCCCACCGGCAGCATGTGGAGATCTACACAGGCTTGGGTCTTGGGCCTGGGGCCTGGCAATCCATGGGAACCTCCATTCTAGGAGACTCCCCCAGGGTAAGGGGGACTGAGAATTCTCTTGCCTCTTTCTGTCAGATGGAAGGAGCAAGGCTGGGAGAGTGCAAAAAGCCTGTGGCTGGGTTTTGGCACTAGCTCTGTAACAACTCAGTGGTTGCTCAGACACTGGCAACACATTTTAGAAGAGCTGGAAACCAGCAGGTAAAAGAAGGGTGGAATATTAAGAATTAGCTACGAAAGTGATGCTCCCACTCTGTAACTGTGGAACTGCATCTTCATTGGTCCTATTCAAATGTCTCAGGAAAGTTCTGTTAAAGTGCCTGGAATATCACAAGACAGTTCATTTGGTTCATTCATTCCCTGGGGGCAGAAATGAGGCCTGGGTAGGCTCTGCCCTCTGCACCCAGCGAAGCTCCAGCCCCTTCTTCCATGCCAGCCAAGCCCTGCCAGCACTTCCTCACCACCTTACAGAGGCTCCAAAGGGTCACGTGGCCCTGATGTCCTGGCCACCACCCTCCTAGATGAGGTGTACCAGCAGGGCAGAGAAGGCTGAGCCAAGCAGCAAACCCAAACACAGGTAAAAGGACATCACTACCCCTGTGGCCTCCGCCAGCTCCCTGGACACAATCTTTGGCCCGTAGATGAGAGCCAGGGTGCTGAGGTAGCCGTTGCTGAGCCCCAGCAGGGAGGTGAAGAGGACCGGGTAGATGTCGGACATGAAGACCACCATCTTCAGGTGTACACGGGGCTGGTAGTTGCAGAACACAAAGAGGGGGATGAAGCCGGTCCGGAGTAGCACAAGCCCCAGGAGCAGCTTACTTTTGGGCCCCGGCACCTGGATCCAGGCTGTGATCTGCCGGCCACACAGGTCGGCAAAGTTGTACAGGAGGAAGGTGGTGAGGGGGACGAAGAACTTGTCGGTCCACAGTGAGCCCGATCCCTTGTTGAGAGACTCGACGTTGGAGGAAATGGCAGGGAAGACGAGGCCGGAGATGAAGAAGATGTAGACAGTGCAGAAGCCCAGGCCAGCGGTCGTCTTCAGGATGGAGCGGAGGGCAGGGAGGGGGTGGTTACTGGATCCAGGGGCCAATGAAGATGCATCGGGGGAGTCCTGGGGCTGCTCCTCTTCACCAGAAAATACATGGGCTGGCCGAGCAGGTCTCATGTAGTACCTGCAGGGAGGCGAGAAGGCACATGGTCAGAGGGCCAGCCATGAAGCAGGCTCACTTGGTGTCTTAGTCATCTAGTGCTGCCATAACAGAAATAGCACAAGTGGGTGGCTTTAACAAAGAGAAATGTATTCTCTCACAGTCCAGTAGGCTACAAGTCCAAATTCAGGGCATCAGCTCCAGGGGAAGGCTTTCTCTCTCTGTCGGCCTTCTCATCAATGTTCCCCCGGATTAGGAGATTCTCCAGGCAGGGACCCTGGGTCCAAAGGAAGCACTCTGCTCCTGGCACTGCTTTCTTGGTGGTATGAGGTCCTCCCCCTCTCTGCTCAATTCCCTTTCCTTTTATCTCTTGTAAGATAAAAGATGGTGCAGGCCACACCCCAGGAAAACTCCCTTTACATTGGATCAGGGATGTGACCTTAGTAAGGGTGTTACAATCCCACCCTAATCCTCTTTAACATCGCAAAATGGAGGACAACTACACAATACTGGGAAACATGGCCCAACCAAATTGACATATATTTTTGGGGGACACAACTCAATCCATGATACTTGGGATTTCCCTTCAAAACCTATTTGTTGAGAGAATAAGTAACCTATAAAAGTGCCTTTCCCCTATACCCTCAACACCAAATATCGTCCATCCTTTCAATTCCTGCTAGTCTGACTGGTACAAAAGCTTGGGTCTCTTTGCCTTGCTTCGTGACCTTGCCTAAGTCACTTGACCTCTCTGGGCCACAGGTGTCTGAAAACCAAGAGGCATAAGGCTGACTGTATTAATATAGCTCTATGGGGAAGGGACCTCAGAGTCAGCACAGCCAGGGTGGGTGCTTAAAACGGAACCTTTAGTTAGGCCCAGCATGTTTGGCCAAAGACCCATAGGGCCCATCAGCCCCGGGACTCCGAGCTGACATATCGTCTGATGGCCAGAGGAAGGCACCAGCTGCCTGCCTGGCACTAGCCAAAAGTGTGTGTTGTGGTGGTGGCCATGGCAGGAGCAGGGACACAGGAAACCAGCACTGACCACCGCACAGTGAGCCTGGGTTGTAGCCTTGGCTCACCTGTTTTTGTTTTATTGTGGAGGCAGGAGGTGGAGAGAAAATAGCATTTAAAAATATCATTTATTTTAAATTATAAAAGTAACACACACTTGATGCAATGAACCTAAATGATACAGAAGAGAAATGGCATGGTAGAAAGGGAACGCTCAACTCCCACCTCCAATAGTGCTCCTGTGTGGGACCAACTATTAACAATCTGGTGCATACTGTTCCACCCATGTGCAGACATGACACACGGGCACACACATGTACACGCAGTTACGTTTCTTAAACAAAGATGGTGTCAAACTGTACACACTGTACAACTCCGTGTAGCAGAATAATGAAATACGGCCTAAAGACAGGCATAACTGTTAAACAAATACCTACATGTAATTGCCTGAAGAACAGTATCCTGTGGCCATTGTCTCACCAAGTACATATACATATGACTCTAGATCTCTGTTGCGCTGGTGTGTAGTATTTCACCGTGTGGACATACAACTGAACTGCTCCCCTACTGAGGGACATTTAGATTGTTTTTTACTACCACAAATCATGTCGGGATGAATATCCCTACCCATAAATCCTGGCACACTTATACTAGCATTTCCGTAGGGCAGATTTCAGAACAGGAAGTGCTGGATTAAAAGGTTCGCACATTTAAAAATTTGACAGATGTAGTGCCAATTTATCTGTGCTTCTTGACCGCCCATTCGACCTACCTAAAATAACCCGTTTGGTTACTCTCTGTTAATCATTTGTTTATTTCCTTCAAAAAACTGACCATGCCTCTAATAATTGCATGTGCTTGTTTGTTCCTGGTGTATTGTCTGTCTCTTTCAATAGAAGGCAGCTCCCTGGGACAATGACCACATTTGTTTGCTCACAGCTAAATCCCCAGCCCCCTCCCTGATACCGAGTAGCCTTTCAAAACATATTTGCTGAAAGAATAAATAACCTATAAAAGTGCTCTCCCCTATACCCTCAACACTGAATATTATCAATCCTTTCAATTTCGGTGACTCTGACCAGCGCAAAGCTTGGGTCACTTTGCCTTGCTGTGTGACCTCTGCCTAAGTTACTTGACCTCTCTGGCCTCAGGTGCCTGAAAACCAGGAGGCATAAGGCTGTATTAACTGTTAATTACAGTTAATAATTAACTGTTCTAACATAGCTCAAACAGAAGGGCTTGGTGTGGTAGTGGAGGAACAGTGGCTTGGTGAATGCTGCGTTCTGCCTCCCTGTGTGAACTTGGGCTAAGCACTCCCCTTTCTGGGCCTGTTTCCTCCTCTGTAAAATGGAGCCGTGAGCTTTCAAGTTTTGGAGGATAACTGGAAGTTCCTGCCAGCTTTCCCATCCTAAAAGCCTGCAGATAACAAGCGAGTTGGGGAAGGACTCTTCTCCGGAAGTACATTTCCATGTGATGCTGAGCAGGGCATCTCTGCTTGACCTTTGTCTTGTTTCACAATCACTATCCAGGGAGTGGAACATTCTTACTTCCCCCTCTATTCAGCTTCAGGTCCTTGCCTTAAATCTGCTCAAAGAAAGCTCCCCACCAAGTTCCTCTGGTTGAAGCTCTTCCTCATAAGTTCTTCCAAATCTCCCTGCCTCATCTCACCCTCGGCCTCCACCCGCACCCCCTACCCCCATGGAACTGCAATGTCTGATGTCCAACAAATGTCCAGCGTTGCATGAGGCTTGTTCTTCCTGGGCGGGACATGGAGGCAGCTGAGCCCCCCTGGGGGCAGCATCTGTGGCTTCCCTTTTAAATAAGATATAGTCTGAGCAGCTCCAGGAACATGGCTCTCTGCAAGCTCTATCCTCAAATGAGTTTCTATAAACCCAGAAGTCTTGACCAAAGTTTTGATCAGCAAAGAAATAGAAACTTGCAGAGGATGGCATAGCCCTGGGTGTTCTCTGTCTCACAAGCCTGGCTGGAAGGACTCTGGCCTACCTTTAGTTATAGTTAGCAAGACTCGTCCCAGTTTGCCTGAGACTGTCCCAGTTTTGGCACTGAAAGTCCTTTGTCCTGGGAACCCCCTCAGTCCCAGGCAAAGAGGGATGGTTGGCCACTCTGAATACTCTGAAATGGGAAATACAACCACAATGTTCCTTACAAGTGAGGAGGGTAAGACTTAGACTTGCTTACTTTGGAAATGTCATCAGAAAAGACTAACTGTTAGAAAAGGACATCATGTTTGGTAAAGTACAGGGTCAGCAAAAATGAAGAAAATCTTCAATGAGATGGACTGACCCAACAGTCACAACAGAGGACATACCAACAATCATGAAGATGGCGCAGGACTGGGCAACATTTCATTCTGTTATACATAAGGTCACCACGAGTCAGAGCCGACTCAAAGGCAACTAAAAGAGGTATAGCTATCCTGCCTCTGTGAGTGCAGACACAAAGCAGGTTCCTGGTAGAAAAGGGAAGAGCTGGGACTAGAATGATCCCCAGCTTTGCCAGCTCACACACTGTGTGGCCTCAGATTTCTCAGCCTTCTCTTTGTCCTAGTTCCCTCACCTGTAAAATGGGGATAGTATTCTTACCTTTCCTACATCACAGGGCTGCTTTGAAGATCAAATAAGATAATGAATATGAAACTGCATGGGAAAGAATAAAACACAAGGAAAAGTTGAGGGTTATTTTTTTAAAAGAGCAGCAGGAAACAAGGAAGGAAAAGGGGGAATTAGAGAGAGAAAGCAAGAGAGAGAGTCAAGGCAAGAAAAGAGATACCGCAGAATAGAGAGAAAGGCCCACAGTGCAGTGGTTAAAAGCACAGGTTGGGATCCAGGTTCGGATCCTGGCTCTGCCCCTACTCGCTGTAGACTCAGGCAAGTTCTCTAACCTCTCTGAACCTGGGTTTTCTTGTTTGTGGATGGGAATAATAATAATAATGTTGTTGTTGTTGTTAGCTGATGTTGAGTCAACTCTGACCCATGGTGACTTTATGTACAACAGAATGAAACACTGCCAGATCCTGCGTCATCCTCATAATTGCCAACTTGTTCAAGTCCATTGTTGCAGCCATTATGCCAATCCATCTCACAGAGGGTCTCCCTCATCCTCGCTGGCCCTCTACTTCACTAAACATGACATCCTCCTCCAGTGATTGATTCCTCCTGATGATGTGTCCAAAGCAAGTGAGTCAGACAATGTTCTGTTGTGATCCATAAGGTTTTCACTGGCTACTTTTTGGAAGTAGATTGTCAGGCCTTTCTTTCTAATCTGTCTTAGTCTGGAAGTTCCGCTGAAACCCGTCCACCATGGATGATCCTGCTGGTATTTGAAACACTGGTGGCATAGCTTCCAGCATCACAGCAATACTCCAGCCACCACAGTAGACAAACTGACAAAATTGGTGGTAGAATAATAGTAGCAGTAGTAGTACTGTACCCTGAGCGCAACAGGGCTGTGTGGGTATTAAATGAGACAGGACACATGCCTGGAGCAGGGGAGGTGTTCAGGGAATTAGAACTATCATTCATTATCATTATTCCTCAAGTCCTACTCCTACCACCTGCTTTCCCTGTCCTAAAACCTGCAGACTCCAAATGCGTTGGGGTGCGGAGGGAGCCTATGTCTCACAGTCAGTGGCCAGGCCACAGCCTGAGGCACCGGGGACACCGCAGTGAACAAAACTCACACAGTGCTCACCCTCCAGAGGGGAAGGCAGGCAATCAACAAGAAAACAGACATATGCTCTAATCAGATGCTATAAGGATACATGTAACATATAACTCTACTTAAGGATGAGCCGACGGAGTGGGAGGTGCCCTCACCTGGCGTACTCCAGCCTGGGCAACAGCAGGTAGAGCACAATGCAGAGTGCCAGGAAGACATCTGCAGTCAGGAAGAAGGCCAGGGCACTATCCGTCACGTCGCTGGATGCTGCCAGGTCTGCCAGCAAGGCCACAGCACTGATGGTCCCGCCCATCGCTCCTCCTGCAGAGACCAGAGGACACCACAGAGGTGGTCAGTGAGGGAGGAGGGGAGGAGGCTGGCTGTGGGTCCATCTTCCTGGTGCCTCAGGCATGTCCCTCCGAGACGCTTGGGTTTAACAGAAATGAAAGAAAAATTCTCCCTGCTGAGAAAATGGCCACTTTTCTCACAGCTCCTGAGACCTTGGCAAACATGGAGGGGTTCCACAGCCATGAGCTTTTGGGTTTAAGAAGGTATTATTTGATGTCCCCAGCCCTGGGTCTGGGGCTTCTCTCCAGTGTGCCTGTTAAGAGGCTGCTGCCTGAGGCAGCAAATGGATTTCAGGAGCCCCCGTCCCCCATCTGCTTTCTGGTTTCATCTCTAACCCTGACCCTCCATCTCTCTTTATTGCCCTCCGGGTGGGGTCTAAATGTTAATTCAGGGGCCAGAAATCCCATAGACCCCTGGGCTTCCTCTTCTCTATCCTTGGCCCAAACTACCCACCAAGCAAACTGGGAGAGAGGCTCAGGGAATTTCCTAGTATAGCTTCTCCTGCTGCCTCCACGGATATTATCTGGGGAGCCCTTCCTGGCTACAAAACCCCACTAGGTCTCCCACCCATGAGCTCACAGAACTTACCTTGTACCCTGAGGCAGCTGGGACAACCTACACGTGAGTACACATGCACAGACACAACACATTCACATACACATAACTTCACACACATGCACACATCCTCACACTCATGCTCACATATGCATGCAACTGCCCTACCACACCGAGCGTCCCCTTTTGCCAAGGTCTTCGACATACACTGCATCAGCTGACCGTGAAGCTGCCACACCCTTGCATTGCTCCCTAACGGAGGAAGCAGCCTAGCCTAGTGGTCCAAGAGCCAAAAAGATGTATGTCTGACCCATGACTCTGCCATTTGCTAGCTATGTGACCCTGCGGGCTAACGTGACTTCTCTGAGCCACAGTTTACTCATTTGTAAAATGGGGGTAATGACACCTGCCTTGTATAACTGCTTTGAGGACTGAATGAGATGAAGTTGGGAAAGGGCCTGGCACACAGTAAGCTTTCAACAAATGCTAGTTCCCTGCCTTGCCACAATCACACAGCAGCTCTGGGAGGCCGGGACTTTTGAACCTTCCCGGTCATTGGCAGTCACCTTGTGCTGGCCAAGGGTCAGAAGGCCTGGGTGTAGCACCAGTTTGGGGAGTACTTTATAAGTGTGAGCAGATCATAGAACTCCTCTCCACCTCAGTTTATTTGCCTGGAAAGTGGGGCTAATACTTGCCCTGTCCATCACACATGACAGCAGTGAGATGGAAGAATGAAGAATTGGAAAGCACTGGATACACGGACAGGATTATTATCATCAATACAGTGAGTGCCTAGTGAAGACGCTGGATTGACTGGCTGAGTGAATGAATTAGCCACTTCAGAGGATCAGGATATCAATTCTCAAGGAGGCAAGAAGGCCGATCACACACAGCCAACGTGGAAACAGCAGACTGGTTCATGTGTGGGCATGAAGTGCTCTGTCAACACCAGGCAGCTTTTACCTGGTACCACTTTTCTGCATATTGTTGCCTGGAATGGAAGCTGGAGGGGGTGGTCCAGGCCCTGGTCTACCATGACGCCCACCATCACTGCTTCACGCACTCTCTGTGGCTCTGCAGGAAACAGCTCACAGCCCTGATGGACCATCCTTTCCCTCAGCTCTCCCAACATAGGCTCCTATTAGCCTGGGTAGCCAGAGGCTAGGATTTGAGGGTAGGGCAAAGACAGAAAAATCAGCATCGTGATTAAGAACACAGACTTGAGAACCAGAACATCTGTGTCCAATCCTAGCTCTACCACTTCTAGCTGTGTGACCTTGGGCAAGTCACTTAACATCTCTGTGTCTCCCTTTGCTCATCATAAAATGGGGATGCCAATAACACCTATCCCTTAGGGCTGTTATGAAGATTAAAAGGGTTATTATATGTCAAGTGCTCAGAACAGTCCCTGGCATGAAGAAATGCCATATAAATCCTCTCTGATTCCCAATTAGGTATTTGGCTATTTCCGTCCTTCCCACATCAAAGCAGCAACAACGGGTAAACCCCTTGCCAAAAGGGTGCCCACTTCTGAGAAGCTGTAATCCCCACCTGGGCATTTTGTAAGAGCTGGGGTTAAACTCACTAAGACATTCCGGCTGCCCCAAGGAATACTATCTTTAACATCACTGTCTATTGATTTTCCTCTCCCCCTTTCCAACTTGTACAGAATTTACAATATTATCATCAACAACAAGCCAGGCCTCCGGGGAGCTCATCCTTCATAACTCCCTACTTTTATCTCATCAGTTATGGAAATACATGCAAATGAGGGGTTTAAAAAAACATCCATATAAAACAAATGAACTGTTCCCTCAGTTGCCAACACACATACAATTCACAGATCACCTCCTCTGGACAAAAAAAGAACCGGGGCTAGCGAGGTGGCCTGGGCCCTCTGGGTGATCAGAACCCCTTGGACTCTCCAGGGTGAGGGTGCCCACAGAGGGGGAGAGGGGCCTTACACAGCAATGACAATGGTTTAGGGTCAAGGGTAATTAATACTGAAGTGTTAAGTACTAAGTTTCCCCTACCTTTTTAAAAATGGACGTCCTGAAAATTTTGGGGAGTCTCTGGGTGGTGCAAATGGTTAACTCTCTCTACTGTTAACTGAAAGGTTGGTCGTTTGAGTCCACCCAGAGGTGCTTCAGAAGAAAGGCCTGGTGATCTACTTTGAAAAATCAGTCAGTGAAAACCGTATGGGGCACAGTTCTACTCTGACACACATGGGTCCCTGACACTACTGGGAACATACGAACAGCTTTCTGAGACCAGAGGTAACAGCGGGATTAAATCCAATGTTTGGTGGCCAGTACCATAAGCCCAGAGCCGCCCTTCTGGAAGCAGTCCCAGGGGCACACCACCTGTACTCAATAAACTTAGCAACCAGTCTATTTTTTATTTTTAGGTCCAGGTGTTTCCCAGGATACAGAATCCTAATCCTATATATCAAAGGTGGCAAACAGATTTGAGCTCACATCTAAACTCTGATCAGTTGAGAGTAACTGCCTGAAGTGCTGTGTTGAGAAGAATTCAGAGGCTCAGGAAGAAAGATGCCATCGATTAGTGATGTCTGGCACCAGCGTGGGAGTGTGGAAGGGTTGTGTACTTGTCAGAGTCTTGGTCAACCCTACCATACATACTACCTGGTGTTGCCAACTGATGGGCACAGAGCAGATTCTCAAGTAGGTACACAGAACAAAGCAGGTGAGCCTCCAGTCTTGCTTTAGGGGACTGTGGTCTCCTGGCAAAGCACAGATTCTTATTGACCCAGCTCCTTTTTATCTTGTTGGGTCATCTGGGAGCTTAGAGAACAAACCTGTTAAGGTCTAGATAATAGGCTTAGTATCAGCATCAAAACTCCAGCTCTGGGGGACAGCCCAAGTCACACATCAGCCCTCCCACACTATTTACCGTGCACCAGACACCAAGGTCAGCGGGTAACGGAGGAGTTATTTATAGGCTATCGGCTCCTGAGAGGATGGGGTCGTGTTCGTCTTTGAATCCTCAGCACATAGTATGTGTTCTATAAAATTAAAAAGGAAGAAAAGACAGAAGGAAGGAAAGGAGAAGAGAAAAACAAATGGAAGAGAAGAGGAAAATGGGAAGAGACATAAAGGGGAGAAGGGAGGGATGAAAGAAAGGAATGCTGGTTTCAGGAGGTGCAGAGAGTGTTTTCCAAAAATGGCTGCAGCTATATCTCCCATCCCACATGCTCTTCTTACAATATGACTTTCATAATCCTCAACTGAGATGTGTAGGCCTGTGTTCTCTCTCCTTGGATCTAGCTGGGTTTATGACTATGGTGGAAGTGACGCCATATGGCTTCTGTGGCTGTTACAAAAGGAAACAGAGTTTCTGCCTGATTCCCTCGGGATGCTCGCTTTTGGAACCCAGATACCATGACATGAGGAAGCTCAAGCAGCCACAGGGAGGTCCATGTGGGGAATAACCCAACTCCAGCCCAGTCCCAGCTGAGATTCCAGTCAACAGTCAGTGCCAACATGCCAGCCAAGTCAGCAATCACACAGTAATGAGCTAGCCCAGCTGATACCAAGTGGAACAGAGATGAGCTGTCCTTGCCAAATCCTGTTAAACTGCAGGTCTATGAACAGAATAAATGTCACTCAGTTTTAGGGTGGTTTGTTACATAGCAGTAGATGACTGATACACACCCAACACTGCCACCACCACCACTACCACCACCAGTTGCTGTCAAGTCGATTCCGACTCATGGAGACCCCATGAATGTCAGAGTAGAACTGTGCTCCACAGGGTATTCGATGGCTGATTTTCAGAAGCAGATTGCCGGGCATTTCTTCTGAGGCACCTCTGGGTGGACTTGAACCACCAACCTTTCAGTTAGCAGCTGAGTGTATTAACTGTTTGCACCACCCAGGGACTCCTGCACATCTAACAAACATTTCCATTTCTGGAGGGGCCATTGCATGCCCACTTATGGCTCCTTCTCATGACCCCCAGGTGGATTAACCTGGTCAACCGTCTGAACCCCAGCTCTCACCTGATATCAGCGCCTGGGAATTCCTCATCGGGAAGGAGCCAGTCATACCGTAGATGCTGCTACTGAAGATAGTGGAGACGCCACTGAGGATCACCATGCAGGTCATGGTGACAGCAAAGAAGCTGCAGGTCCAGGAGGAGGTATCCACTTTCACCAGCAGGGTCATCATCACGAAGATGGTCAGCATGATGGCCAGGGAGGCCAGGACACGGACACGGACCGGAACCCTGGGGTGAGGATTCGGAGGTGGTTAGACACCCCCTCAGGCCTCGCCACGTGGGGCTGGGACTGCTGAGCCACCTTAGAGGAAGCAGGTAAGCTCAGTGGTTGGCAGTGTCCACTCTGGAGTCAGGAGGCCTTGGTCTGAATCCTGCTTTCCCAGCTCACTAGGTGTGTGGCCTTGGGTAAGTTACTCAATTGCTCTGGTTTCAGCTTCTGTAACTGTACAATAGGGAGAACTGTTACGGACTGAACTGTGTCCCCAAAAAATATGTGTTGTAAATTCATTTGGGAATGAGTTTTCTCTGTTGTGTTAATGTGGCAGTATTAGGGTAGGGTGTGTTTTAAGTCAATCTCTTTTGAGATATAAAAGAGCAGATTAAGCAAGCAGCAGAGACAGGGGAAGACAGATGCCATGCCACATGAAGATCACCAAGGGACCCAGAACCAGAAGTTGGAAGAGACAAGGGCCTTCCCCTAGAGCCAACAGAGACAGAAAGCCTTCCCCTAGAGCCAGCACTCTGAATTCAGACTTCTGGCCTCCTAAACTATGAGAAAATAAATTTCTGTTGATTAAAGCCACCCACTAGATAACTAAGATAAGAACTAATCTACCTCACACAGTTGTTTGTGAGGATCTCAGGGGCTGAGACATATGAGTGCAGACAGCAGAGCCTGGCTCAGGGTAAATACTGCATCTTGCAATCTTGCTGTGAGGTTCAAGGGCAGGATATGAGGGCTGTCAAAGCAAGCCCTCTGCTCTTCCTGCCACAGGGCCGAGCGCCCACTAGCTTTGTCTACTATTTAAACACAGCAATCACCCGCTGGACTTCAGTCCCCCAAAACTTAGCAGTAGGGTGTGGTGGAGGAAAGAAGGGAAGACCATAATCATTATCATCAAAGCAAACACTCACACAGTACTGACTTGGTGCTAGGCACTCTTTCAACTGTTTTCTATGTACTAACGCACTTAACTCTCACACCAGCTCTGTAAGATAGGCACTCTTACCTATCCCACGCACAGACAAGGCACTGAGGCACAGAGAGCTTCAGGGACTTGCTCAAGGTCACTCAGCTGGTAAATGGCAGAGCTGGGATCTGAATGCAGGAGGTCTGCTCCAGGCTGCGCTCCCAGAAAGACACTCTAGCGCCTCCCTGTAATAAAGGAAATGTGGTGGCACAAAGGCACCACAGGACAAGGGGCCAGGGCAGAAGGGTTTGCCTGGAATGGTCTCAGATTGGCCGGGGCAGCAGCTGATGCCTGCCCTCCAGGACCAGAGCCCCCCTCACACCTCCAGTGCCATGTCTGCATGTCAACCAGACACTCCTCCCAGCCCCCATCCACCCAGACACCACCCTGGGGAGAAAGGTAAGGAGCGCAGGCTCTGGGAAACGATACAGGTTTATTCTAGGGAGAGAGAACACCATCTAGAAGCGCTGTTTAAACCATCAGATTAGACTACTAAACTTTAAACCGGATTGGAGGTTCAGTTAATTTTTCTGCTAACTAGTGGGTGGGGGCTGGGCAAAAAGCCAGATTAGGTATAGAAAAAATGTTTGGATAAAAAAATGAAAGATAAACTTGAAAGGTAGAAAAGATACATGTGTACGTCAATGGGTTTGAAATGTCGAGTATGACACGCAATAAAATAAACGATGTTCTCAGAGTGCTTGGTGGCCACAGGCGGGTGTGAGTGTCCTGCTGATCCTCAGCAGATGTTGCCTCCACTTTGTAAGGGGGAGGAGGAAGCCCAAGGAAGTGAGGGGACAGTTCAAGGTCGCCGAGTGAGTCCGTGTGGAGCTCGGTCGAGAATCCAGGTCCACTGACCCCAGCCCAGCACTGAGTCTGCTAAAGTGTGTCCTCTCTATGTGTTCATTCAGAAAACATTTATTGAGCAGCTGCTGGGGTGGTATGCCAAGTACTGTGTTAGATGCCTGGGACACAAGACAGACCAAAGGGAGACACATCAGAACCAGGCCATTTCATTCTAGAATTTAAGTCAGTGGTCCGTGGGGCAGCCACAGGACATCGTGGGGCACATCGAAGGGCATAAAACCCTCACCAGGGCTGCAGAAGGGTTTTGGAAGCAAAACCTCAGCTGAAACACAAGCCACGAAGGGGAGACATGTCTGTATGTGTGTGCACACACGTGTGAGAGACAGCATGCGTGCTCACGGCACCGTCAGCGCTGAGGACTGACTCTGGGGTGCAGAGAGGAGCCTGGAGAGATCCCGAGCCCCATCCTGTAGGCCTTGTCCACCCTGATAACCATCAGGGCTTGGTCCTAAGAGTGCGGTGTGGAGCGGATGTCCTGTCTTGGACTGCCAGCACCCCTCCCCTGGGAGACTTCTCCTTCCTCCCGGCCAAATCCTAGAGAGGTCGTCAGCCACATGGCCCACACCGACCCGGCTGCAAACGACGGGCACACCACCCAACCTGGGGTGATTACAGAGTCCCATGCCTCTGGACACAGGGACTGGTTTCGGGATTAGCACGTGATCCAAGCAGGGCCAACCAGTCTTCCCCAGGACCAGTCCACGTAAGCTGGCAGAGAGAAGCTCTTTCTCTGCTGTGATTGCATCCAGGCCTGTTGGGGGTCATCTTGCCAGCTACGTGGTGAGAGACCACCTATGGAAGGGAGCCAAGTGAGGCACACATACCCCAGAGATGGTGCACAAGACGGAGCCCTGTTGATGTTTGCGATCCCCTAGGCTCAACTATGCCTGGAGGTAGACCTGACTTTAATTTTTCAGTTAGAGAATGACTAAATCCAATTTTATATCTCTATCATTTGTTGGAGTCCCTGGGTTAACATGCTTCACTGCTAACCAAAAGGTTGGAGGTTTGAGTCCACCCAGAGGTGTCTTGGAAGAAAGGCCTGGCAATCTACTTCTGAAAAATCAGCCATTAAAAACGCTACGGAGCACAGTTCTACTCACACATAGGATCGTCATGAGCTGGAATTGACTCTATGGCAACTGGTAAAGGTATCATTTGTTACCAAGAGACCCATTAACACAAAGAGGTACAAAGGGTTTTAAGCAGGGGAGTGACACAGTCAAACTCTACAGCGATGCTGACGGTGCTCTGCCCATGTGCCTCCCCCTTACCACCGTGGGACCCGCTGGTCCATGAAGCAGGCTGGAAGTGACAGGTAATGAACACCTTCAACCAATGAGTGGGGGGAAGTCAGAGGATAAACACCCTCACCCCTCGTTCTATACTGGCTCCCAGCGTTTCCCGGCAGCACTGAGCTCTGGTCACCCTCTGGGGGCTGGCTGGATAAGGCACACACCAGCTGTCCTGGAGGCTGGCAGTCAGGCCTTACCTCTGGTGCCTGGAGTAATCCACTCACACAGCTAAAGCTGCCCTCCCCACCCAAAAGGTAAGAGCCAGCAGGGGCGCAGAGCCTGGGTCAGGTGATAGACTGGAGCCCTGCCCAGTTTGGCCACTAACTCGCTGTGTGACCCCAGGCAGATATTCAAACTCTCTGGGCCTCAGTTTGCTCATCTTTAAAAAGAAGATAATCTTAAGGTCCCTTCCAGCTTACGATTCTAAATCTGAAGAAATTCAAGTGGAGAAATAGGCTGGGGTCAAATTCCAAAAACTTTTAACCAGTTCCTGGGGGAAGAGGGAGGCAAAGGCCAGTGCCACGAGGACAGGGCCTGGCTGTTCTCCATCGCATCACATGCTGAGCATCGGGACCTGGCAGGTGAGTATTTGCCGGATGCGCAGATTGACAAGCAAGGGACATGAGCAGTGCAGGAGCAGCTTTTACAGCAGGGCCAAATCTCTCTGCTTCTGGGGCCCCTCAGCATCAAAGGGAGTCCAGCTATAAACATCTGCGGCATTTCCAGCCCATCTCGGGACCGGCCCCTGCTTCTAACCGCCTCCTTGTGAACCCAGAGCAGAAAAGGTCCACTCCAGGAATGCTGCTGGCATCACGGAAGCACTCCAGAGCTTGTCACTACAAGGTAATTAGTTGTCTGAATAGGAAGGTGGCTCTGGAGAGCGCTGGGGGACTTCTTACCCAGGCAGCCCCAGGGCGGGAGACAAAGGAAGAGTAGAAAATGAGGATGCAATTGCTAAAGGCATTAAAACGCAGTGCAGTTAGCAGGCTGCCTCTGTTTCCCCCGAGGCCCCTCACCTGCAGAGGTCTCCTTCCTGCCTGCTAATTGCTTACAGGGTAAACCACTCCCGGCACAGCCTCCATCCCAGGGCTCCCGCCAGCCCACAGGGATCTCGCCCGGGGCTATTTTCAACACTCATACAACTTTATGAAATGGTGCCAAGGGCCAGCTGCGCAGGCGTGCTGCTGGGGGCATGCTGGCTTTGCCTCTGCTGCTTCCACTCCGGGCAGGGAAGGTGACCCAGGGGATAGTGACATTGTTGGGACTTTAAGGAAAGTCCAGACAAGTGTGGCCCCATTGATGTCGGTGGTTCTTCTCTGGGATGGGGGATGGCCGAGATGACACCCAGCCCTGGGGCCCTGGGACAGATCACTCTACCAGGGGACTCCAGAGGGCCGCCAGCTGTCCCCAGGCGCCAGCTTCCCTCCCTAGCTGGTGAGAGCTCATGACTCCAGGGAACTGATATCTTCATAAGTCTGTAAAATGTAAATCTGCCTCATAAGTATTTATGATGCTGCAGATTTAACATAATAAAACACTTGGCGATTATGGATAAGCCAGTCAGGGAAGGCCAGGGTCCTCCCAGGGGGAGAAAATGAGACATTTCAATTTCACATATTAAATAAGAAACAGCTTTAAAAAAAAGAAAAAAAGCTTAGCCTCAAACCGTCTCCCCACAGCCTGCAAAGAGATGAGGTAGTCATGTGAACCTGGATGATCCCGAAGAAGCCCTGGTGGCACAATGGTTAAATGCTCGGCTGTTAACCAAAAGGTCTGTAGTTCAAACCCACCAGCCGCTTCGTGGGAGAAAGATGTAGCAGTCGGCTCCCATAAAGATTACAGTCTTGGAAACCCTATGGGGCAGTTCTACCCTGTCCTATAGGGCCGCTCCCAGGTCTGGTGAGGGAGCGAACAGAGAGCCTCATGAGAGGCCTGGGAAGGAGAGAGGGCAGGGAGAGTCCTAGGCTTCCCCACTGCCGTGGCTCTGTCACCTCTTTCTTCCTTGCCCTTCTCCCACCTACTCCTCCACCAGGAACGCCACTGACACAGCTCTGTCCTTCAGGGGCTCGTGGTGCTGAAGAAACGCCTGACCCTGCACCCAGCGCTGCTCCTCCACTCTTCCCCTGGGATGGCGTCTCTGGAGGCTGTGCCCCCACCTGCAGGACAGTGACTATAGTCCTGTGAGCCAGGGCAAGGCGCAGGTGAGGCAGGTGAGGGGCCAGTGGCTTGTGAGAGGAGCTGCAAGGCCTTCAGGCCCATCTGGGTCATTATCTTTCTCGCTCTTCCAGCCTGCACTTGGGGTCCGGTGAGGGTCTTGAGATGGCTGCAACTTCCTTGACACTCCCTCCATTGAGAGGTGGGGTCTATGTCTCCTTGAAACTGAGTGGGCTTTGTGACTCCTTAGACCAATCGAGTATGGCAGAAAGTGACACTACATGACTTCTGAGACTAGGTTATAAAAACCATGAACTTCCGCCTTGTTCTCTTGGAACACTCATTCTTGGAGCCTTCAGCCCCAATACAGTATAGGAAGTCTGACTACACTGAGCTGACATGCGAGCCGTCCAGAGGAGAGACATGGAGGGGGAGGGAGATGCGCAAGGAGCCCTGGCTGCTCCAGGCCCATCCACTGCACAGCAAGCCCGAGCCACTGAATAAGCCCTGGTGACCCCCAGAGCCAGGAGAGATACTCATTATTGCTATTGTTTGAAGCCACTATGATTTAGGCTAGTTTTTTTATACAGCAATAGATAATTGGAGTTGCCCCGTAGCACAATGTGTTTGGAAAGGCAAAGTCTATTCAGGGTTAGCACACAGGAGGCATAGGGTGCCCCCTCTCTCCTCCTGTTCCCAGAGCAGATACCACCAAGGAATGAAGGCACCCTCCCTGATACCATACCTGCCTCAGAATCCTGTCCAACTGTGATGCCCACCTGATGAGATTAACCCAGCTGTGTCTGAAGAGCCTTTGGCTGAGGTATCACCTGGGGTGACGCCTGAGTCATGGCCTGGGGCATTGCCTGAGGCAGATGCCTTATAAGACATTGCTGAATGTTCTGAAAACATCCCCACCACCCATTTTTGCTCTTAGGCCTATAACTAGACTTAAGTCTCAGCAAGCCCCAAAAGGTGACCCAGGAGGAGGTACGTTATACTCCAAAAGAACTGGTTCATTTTTCTAATATGTACAAACAGAAACTTGAGGAATATGTATGGGAATGGCTATTAAGGGTGTGGGATAATGGTGCAAGGAACAGAAAGTTGGATCAGTCTGAGTTTATTGATATGGGCCCACTAAGCACAGACTATTCATTCAATGTTTCAGCTCGAGAGGTTAGGAAGGGATCTAATAGTTTATTTGGTTGGGTCGCTGAAGCACAGATTACACAGTGGTCTACTCTAAATCAAGTTGAAGTACCAGATCTGCCTTGGTTTATTATAGAAGAAGGTACCCAAAGGCTTAGGGAAATTGGCGTGTTAGAGTGGATTTATCAGGTTAGACCCAGACCCACACATGGAGTGCCCAGAGGACACACATTTTCCCACAAAGGTGAGGAACAAATTTGTGAAGGGAGTCCTGCATCCTTGAAGACTGGTGTGATAGCTATTTTACGTAAGTCAGATTGGACAGTGGGAGCTGCCCTAACTGAATTAAGACACCTAACTACAATGGGGCTGACTGGACCCAGTGGCTGCACTCAATCAACAAAGACAAAGCGGGCGTGGTTACTGTAATGGACGGCAGAGTCAAAGTGGTAATCAGAATAGTCTGATTTGAGTGGACTTACGGCACTGGCTGCTTGGTCATTGTGTCCCTAGGAGTGAAACAGATGGGAAATCTACTAAATATTTACTTGATCTGTACAGCTCCTATGAGTCGGAATCAACTCAAGGTCAACGGGTTTGGGTTTTTTTGGTTTGTACAAGCCGAAGAATTCTAGGTCAAGTGAAAGGCAGTTTAATTTGAATTGCCAGAACAGAGAGTCATGGCACCTCAGTCAATTCCCAGACTTGAGCAAGCTTACAGACCCACAACCCCTTGAATGAAGGAGAGGCCTGGGCCCCTTGAGGAAGGCAGTGTTCTCCAGGAGGCTGTACATGCTCTCAACCAGCATCGCATATATGGTGCTGTTTCTCCCATAGCCAGGATTCATGAGTCCAGGAATTAAAGGGTAGAAATGGGAGTGACACCACTCATTATTACTCCTAGTTACCCACTCGCAAGTTTTGCTTCCTGTCCCTGTGACCCTATGCTCTGCAGGTCTAGAGGTCTCAGTTCCAAAGGGAGAAATGCTCCCACCTAGAGACACATCACTGATTCCATTGAACTAAAAGTTAAGAATGCCACCGGCTCACTTTGGGCTCTTTATGCCTCTGGATCAACAGGCAAAGAAGGGAGTTACCATACTGGCTGGGGTGATTGATCCTGATTACCAAGAGGAAACTGGACTGATATTACATAATGAAGGTAAAGAAGAGTATGTCTGGAATGCAGGAGATCCTTTAGGGTGTCTCTTAATACTACCATGCCCTGTGATTAAAGTCAATGGAAAACTATAACAACTCAATTCCCACATGACTACTAATGGCCCAGGCCCTTGAAGAATGAAGGTTTGGGTCACTCCACCAGGCAAAGAACCACGACCAGCTGAGGTGCTTGCTGAGGGCAAAGGGAATACGGAATGGGTGGTGGAAGAAGGTAGTTCTAAATACCAGCCATGACCACGTGACCAGTTGCAGAAACGAGGACTGTAATTGTTATGAGTATTTCTTCCTTGTATGTGTGCATCAGATATTTTTGTTTTCTTATAAAATATAAGATGTAAACAGAGCTAGTGCGTTTTTGGTTGTACGTATGTTAGTGGTATCATGTTAGGTGCAAGTATGACTTTATAATTGCCTTTATTTAGATATTATGTATGGTTTAAGGAGATTTGTACAGGTGCCAAGTTGATAAGGGGTAGACTACGATGGTTAAGGTTGTATGTCAACTTGGCTGGGCCATGATTCTCAGTGATTTGGCAGTTGCGATGTAGATTGGCAGTTATGTAATGATGTAATCACCTCCATGATGAGATCTGCTATGAACAGTCAATCAGCTGAAAGGGAATTTCCTTGGGGGTATGGCTTGCATTCAATATATATGGACTTTCTGGCAAAGCTCACTGGCTTTTGCTCTGCTCTGGGTCCTGCATTCAGCTCATCATCATCTGAACCCTGGTTCTTGAGACCTGGGCCAGCAGCCTGCCATCTGACCTGCCGATCTTGGGTTCATCACCCCTGCAGTTACGTGAGTCAGGAGAAGCCTCCAGCCTGACGCCTGACCCACAGACTTGTGACTTTCCAGCCTCTACAACTGTGTGAGTCATTTCCTTGATATAAATCTCTCTCTAGATATATACATATACGTATATACATGCCTCACTGGTTTTGCTTCTCTAGAGAACCTAGCCTAAGAAACCAACCAAAGATCTGGGCAGTCTACAAATTGATCAGAGCTGGGTAAAAAGGAGTTTGTCATCAGTGGTCTAGGTTTCAGTAGGGTATGCCCAGGAGAAGCCTGGGTTTCTGGGTCATCACATAGCTACTGTCACCCCCTAGTGGCAATTTAGGGGAAATGCAGGCAAAGGACCTTGGGCTGTTGCCCTTGTAAACCTAAGTGGACAATGGATGGCCACTGTCACCAGTGGGGTCTACGGGCCAGGCTAACTTGCCTAGCCAGCTCTTAGATAATTCCTTCTTCCATGGTGCATCCACATGGAGGCTTTTCCCAGCCCTTCACTAACACGGCATCAGAAATTCCCCACCAACCTCCTTTGTGAACAGTCAAACATCAGCTGGTTTCACCAGCTTAGCACTGACCAGTTAGGTGACCCCTTTACACGTGATGAAAGCTGGAGCTGGGGGATCCCAGGCTCTTAGCTTCTAATCCCTGTCAGAAATGCCAGCTTCCAGAGCCTTGCTCTCTAGCCCCACCCCAACATCCACATGGTGTTCCTTGGCTGCAAGGCCAACGTTCCCTGAGAGAAGCAGGGAGGAAGACCCGTGTGTCCCCACACGTCTCCAACTGGCTACTGACAGGATGTCATGATGTGGTTGGAAGGTGAACATCCAGCCCCCTGACTGGGGATTCCATCAACAAGGCTCCAGGTAACTGACCTGACTTCTTGATCTTCATGGATCTGAGCTGCCTGCCTCCTACTTTGGTAGCCACCATTTAAGCAGGCAGAAAAAAAGCAGCTGTGGATAAAAAGAGAGTAGAAAAGGCTGGAAGCAAAGGTTGGGGGCCTGAAAGGTACATACCTGTTGACAAGCATGAAGTTGACCACGAGGCACAGGACTGAGGGCACAGTGGAGGCAACGGCAAAGTAGCTCTCAAAGTAGTTCTGTAAGCACAGAGGTGAGGAGGCTGCTGAGGTCACATGCAGGGCAGAGGTGAGGGGACCCCAGAGAGCAGACAGGTGGGGAGGTGAGGCTTCTCCCCAATGTCTTCAGACACCTAGGAGGGATGAGTAAATCTATCCCAAGACAGCATGGTCCTCCCCCCATCTCCAACCTAAGTCCACTCATTCCATTGCTCAACAGACACCAGTGTGAACTGTGCTGGGTGCAGGCGATATAAGGATGGATAAGACATTGTCCTTCCCTCGGTGAGGCCCCTGACACTCTGCAGCCCATGCTTCCACCCACTCTACTTGTCCCCCATGGACTGAGGCAATGGGGGCAGGACTCAGTATATTTCTAAAAAAATAAAACTTTTGCCTTATCAGTCTTCTTAGCCCATTGTCAAATTACAGGGTTATCCAAATGGGTTTTGTTACGACCCAACCATGTTCTCATGTTTCTGCAGCCAAGTGAGACCCCTTAGAAATACACCAGGCTCCACTCCCTGCAGGGGAACTCGGTTCTGAGTCTGTATTTGCTCCCTCAATAGTACATTTTGGAAGGTGGCTCCTACACTGGCCAGTGTGAGGAAAAATGACATTTTCCTGGGATCAGCTCCCGGGTATGACAGACTAGGAGTGCATGAGACCACAAGAGAGATGAAGACTCTCCTGATTATAATGTGCTGGAACTCTTGGCCAAAGAAGCTGCATGGCTACTGCATGCATTTGTCAAAACCCAGAGAACTGTCCACTAATGAGGGTGGATTTTACTGGTGTACATTACACCTCAATATACCCGACTTAAAAAAAAAAGCCCTTGGGAAGAGCTGACCTATTTTGGCTCTGGTCACTGTGTCACACCATGAACTCCAGGTCAGTAATGATGATGAGCTCTAAGCCATGAAAATAGCTTACACATATTAAGCATTTATGGTCTCTAGGTAGTGCAAACAGTTTCTGCTCGACTACTAACCTAAAGGTTGGCAGTTCAAATCCACCCAGCAGCACCACAGAAGAAAGGCCTGGTGGTCTGCTTCTGTAAAGATTACAGCCAAGAAAACCCTACGGAGCAGTTCTACTCAGAGACACACGGGGTCACTATGAATTGGAAAAGACTGGATGGCAAGGGTCTTTTGGCTTTTGGTTTTTTTATTAAACATTTACTGTGTAGCAAATACAAGGGCTTTATATGAATCATATTGTTTTATCCTCAAAAAAAAAAAAAAAGGGAAGAAGCGGTGTGAGTATTCTGCTCTGGAAGGTTTAAGAAATTTAGCTGAGGAAATACTTTGAGTATCTATCAATGTGCAAAGAACTCTGCCAACAAAGGGATCACTAAAGAGTCTAAGACATGGTTTTTGCCCTTTAGGTACTTACTGTCCCATTGGGAATGTAAGATAGGGTGTAGCGTGAAGGTTTTGTAACAGCTCAAAACACCACTAGAAGAGATGCCAGAACTCTGTGTATGTGTGCGCGTGCAGGGGGAGGTTTGGCCAGTTCAGATGTAGAGGCAGTGGGTGCTAGGAAGGATACAGCCCTTGCAAGGACAGGAAGGAGTATGGATTGGGGAAGGGTCTCAGAGGAGGTTGGGTTTGAGTCAGACCTTGAAACAGAGGGCTGAATGTTGGATTTCTCCTCTCTGGGAGAGTGTGATTGCAACCTGGAGGCCAAGAAAGAAAGATGTCATAAACGGGCAACTTCTAGTCCCAAGCACGTACTGTTCCATGGTCCCTCTTTAAGCCAGCAAAGTGCTTTGTGGTCTTTGAAATCTATACCCTGAATATAAGGTTGCGGTGGCCCTTGTAATTAAAATGATAATCACAGCGAGTGTGGTCCATCAACCATGAGCCTTAGAAATAGCCTTCCTGCTCTGAGGTGCCCCTCATTGTTCCTGCCCTGATGGGCTCAGTCGAGCCTGGACTGGCCCGAGCGGTCTGTCAATTACATCTTGACACAGTGGCTGGGCCTACGTGAGGCCAGTGGGTATCAGGAGGAGCCATAGGAAAAGGCCAGCAAGGGCTCAGCATCCGAAGCAGAGACAGGGCTGCTCCTGATCTGAGCCCCACATAAGGCTCCCCTCATCCCATAGTTGCTCATTCCGAGGGAAGTCTGTGAATGGTCATTACCTCGGATGGGGAGTCTCTGTTTTTGCTTTTCCAAGCAGGCTCAGGTTTCCTGAACATTTTAGGAACGGGGATTTTCCAGGTGATGGAATGTTCTGGTTTGTTGATATCTAAGCAGAAAACTTTTCTTTTAATGTTGAAACATTTAAAACTATTGACAACTGGATGAGGCTATGACTCCCTCCCTGTTGATGGAGCCCGTTTCCCTGCCTTACACAGAACAAGCTGGTGGGTACAGAGGACATGGCCCTGCACCGTCTTTCTATAGGTACACATCAGGGGCTGCAGACGGTGACTTAGGTTGACTCAGCACATACATGGAACTTTATAGTATAAAAAAATTAATTCCTGATACAAGCATGTGGTGGGTTTTATTTAATTATTTGCTGTTGTTGCCTATAAACAGAACAAAAAAAAACCTATTGCCATAGAGTCAGTTCTAACTTAGAGTGACCTCATGTGTTACAGAGTAGAACCACTCTATAGGGTTTTCTTGCTGTAATCTTATGAAAACATATCTCCAAGGTCTTTTTTCAATGGCACCACTGGGTGGGTTTTAACCGCCAACCTTTAGGTTAGTAGTTGAGCACAAACCATTTGTGCCACCCAGAGACCTCCTATAAGTAGAACTCTAGAAAAATGAAGTGTGGTTGACAGACTCTTAAAGTGGCCCCTATGATTCCTGCCTCCTGGTGCTGATACTCTTGTGTGATCACCTATCCGTGAGGGTGACTTGCTTCTAACCAACACAATATGGGAAAGGTGACATACACATGATTACGTGTACGTAATTACATGATTGTGTGACACAAGATTGTAGCACCCATCTTGCTCTCTCTCTCCCTTGCTGACTTTGAGGAAGCAAGTGACATTGCTGGGGAAACTTGCAAAGCAGGGAACTAGAGGTAGCCCCTAGTTGCTGAGGTTGGCCTCCAGCCAACAGCCAGCAAGAAATTGAAGCCTCAGTCCTACAACCGCAAGGAACTGACTTCTGCCAACAACCTAAGTGAGTGTGGAAGCAGATCCTTCTCCAGTCGAGCCTTGGATGAGGCTGCAGCCCTGTCTGACACCTTGATTGCAGCAGACTATCAAGTGACACACTAAGCAGGGGCCCAGCTAAGCTGTGCCAACACTCCTCACCCACGGAAACTGTGAGATGAAATATGTGTGTTGTTTTTAAGCCACTAAGTTTGTGGTATTTTGTTACATAGCAACAGATGGATAACTAATACATGAGGGTTTCAGATAGCTGGTTTCCTACAAATCAGGGTTTTCCTGAATATTGTAGCCTTCCTGTTTCAACTTAAATTCAGTTCCTCGATGAAAATGAGAACAGCTGCTCATGATCCTTTTTTCAATTTCCTGCCAGACAAGGAGGCCATTTTGTCTGCCCCTAAGGGGAACAAAGACTGTGCTTGCAACCTCATCTGTACCTTCAGCCGTTCCTCACCAAACCTTTTGCTGATATTAGGATCATTTTTGGAAGTGGCATGCATTGATTTCAACAAACTGGACCTAGTTGATGTGCCACCCCAGGGCTGCTCACCCGCCTGCCCCTCAAGCACCTGCCTTGCTTCCTGGTCACAGGGGTCTGTCCCCAGTCCCATGGTTGTAAAGCTACTGTCACTGCTGCCACCACAGGAGGAGCTGATTGACAAGGAGAGACCCCTGCACCTGCACACTGAGCAGGCTGCCCCTCCAGGGGCTCTTGCTTCCCTGGTGGCTGCTGGAGGGGCCAGGTAACATTCCCTGAGCCCCAAGATACAGACTTTGACCAATGGGAGACAGGAGATGGGGAGAGGTCAGCAGATAAGTCACATGCCTCTTCTCTCTCCTGACAACCATATGGCTTCTCTGGAGATGTTCCATATGCCTGAGCAACCAATTGCGTTGTGTTGCAAAGCTGTGGCCAGCTCAGTCCTAGGCACCTCGTCTGTCTTCTCTCTCCATCCCTGCCTCATTTCCGTCTCCGCCTCACTCTTACTTCCCTAGGACTGCATTCCCTAGGAGAATATTAGCACATCAGGCTTGGCCTCAGGCACTGTTCTCAAAGATAACACCTTTCTAAGAAACATCCATCATGGATGCCCCAAGTTCAATTCCTGATTATGCACTTTGAGGAGGTGCACCTGGCACTTCCTTCCTGGGTTCATCTCATTTGCTTCCAAGGGGTGTTGAAGCTGCCTTCTCCCATTTTACTCAAGGAATGAATACTAGTGCAGACACACTGCAGTTAAGGTGGTAACAGTACTGCTCTCTCCAAAACAATGGATACTGTCCATCCAATAGGGGGTGGCACAGGGACAATTCATGCCAAAGTTCACCTCCACTGAGTCTGAGTCCTGAGAGCTCACTCAAAAGGCTCTGTTGTCATTTATCCCACCAGGTGCCCTGTGACCACCCAGAGGTGAACACAATGACCCCAAAGGCCAGCTCTAGCCACAGAGGAGTGGAGGGATGAGAAAATCATCAGGGTGATGGCCTGGGGTCCCCGTGCATGACAGAAGCAGCTGTGCTCAGGACAAATCCCTGGGGCACCATCCCTGTGGACCCTGATATGAATGGAGCCCCTCAGGGCCGTGCAACATGGCAGCCCTGTTTACACAGCCTGTGAAGCCTTCAGGCCTGGGGGTCAGTTTGGGTCTTATGTAATTACAGGTGAAAGACAGTGATTCAGCAAGAAGGCAGGTGGAGACAACAGGCAAGGACATTATGAGATGAGGAGGCCTCCTCAAGCCCGTTTCTCTGCCTCAGCAGGCTAGGCCCAGACAGGAGATCCACAGGCCTCTCTTCTGCTGAGTGTCTCATCTAATCTCCCTACCCTCAACTATCTCCCCAGTGTTATCTGCACCTGCAATTACCTGAGGCTCCGGAGGG